TGGCTTATACTTGTAATCCTAGATACTCAGGAGGCTGAGATCTGAGGGTCGCAGTTCAAAGGCAGCCTGGGCAAAAAAGTCCATGAAGTGCTTATCTCCCAGAAAAAGCTGGAAGTGGTGCTGTGCCTCAAGTAGTAGAGTGCTAGCCTTGATCGCAAAGATGCTTAGGGATAGCACTCAGGTCATGAGTTCAAACTCCAGGACAGGTAATAATAATAACAACAACAACAACATGGACAATAATAATGACTGAATACATGAGCCTGGTACTTATTGTATATAAAATAGGTCTCCCCAAGCATTCTCTCCATTCATTCTTATTCTCTCTCTCTCTCTATTAGTGAGGCATAAATCACAAATTATCTCATTTGTATTTAGTTTCGTAAGTATTTAGTTAATACATTGAGGATTTAGATATCTACTTGGTTTGGAGGTGAAACCCCATAAAGAATGCTACCTACATCAGACATTCACTACCCATCCAGAATAATTGTAAAAAAAATTAACTTAGGAGGCAGGTGAAACAATGCATTTGCTTTCTAGATCTAACACAGAATTTTCTATGAACACACACAGACATACGCATACACATACACCACATACACATTTTTAGTTTGTAAGGAAGGACTATAAGAGCAATTTATCAAAATGCCAACAATCTAAAAATTAAGTTGTCAGCTTTTTCTCTGTACTGCAAATTACAGAAGAATTAGGGGTTTGGTGCTAATAGAATCTTACAGTTCTAAAGTGTGCAATTTAACCAATCATCCCAAGGTCTAAAAATGCCATGCTGAAGACATTTCAACCAAATGATCTATAGTTCTGGTACTTAATTTCTACTTCTCTATTTCCACATGCCCCCCCCCCCATGTTTTCCTTCCTTGTGCTTTCGAAATGTGTTTTGGAAGAGCCACACAGATTAGTGAGCACCACCCTGAGCTCCTACATACATACAACAGCATGAAAAATGACAGTCATCTTTGAACGGAAGTACAGGAAAGACCGGGGACATGCACAGCTACTCTTTGCTTAAATTTTTAATGTATTTAGTGATTTTTTAAAAAAATAATTTAGTCAACACTAATGTGTGGTGCAACATGTCTCTCAATATCCTTACACTTGAGTTCTGAGGATAAAAACCACTAAATATGAAATAACTAGCAAATAAAACAGCAAGTGAAAAATCTATTAGCCCTGATCATAGCAAATATCTTTCTACACCTGTGAAACCTCTAGCTTTCCCAATGATTTCTTCCAACTTCAAGAAAATCGCTCACAAACAAATAAGGTTACCTTATCAGAAAAGAAATTGTGCCTCTCAACACAAGACATACTTTCAAAATGCTAACCTAATCATCAAAAACAAATATTTAGCCAGATGTTCTTTTGGTATAAACAATAGTAGGAAATACATGCACTAAATACATAAATAGAAAATACTGATTCATTGTTCTAGTTCTTCAGGTAATTTTTAAAGTAGCTCTTTTTTAAAAAAAAAAAACAAGAGTATTTTCTTTTATAAAAAGAATATTTAAAGATTTCTACTATTTCACCAAAAACCTCTTCTTCCATGATCCCTTGAGACATAGTCTCCCGTGCCATTTTGTATTCACCCCTTTCTTCCAGTTCTCCAAACAATACCTTGTGGTGCAGTTGTTTCTGAACAAGGAGCGTCTCATTCATTCATGAGGCAAAGTTAAGGCCAGCAAGAAGCGCCAGATGCTCTGCTTTTGCCTGCCCCACCCTGTTTCTTTTTGAGCATAGTGATGTCACAACACCAGGCCAGGCAATGACTCCAGTGCTCCGGTCCTCCCTTCTGACCACATAATTCTCTACTGCCAGGGCAAATCAAATGATAGCCCTCAGCATCTGATGAATTCCCAGCAAATGGACAGCCAGAGAGCCTTTGGAAGGAAATAGATGCATTGCACCATTAAAGATCTTTCTAAATGAAGTAGGGCTAAAGATAAATTTGACTCATGGTTTTCAATGGCCAAGTCTATGTTCCCTAATAAAGCTGATATTCAAGGAAGAAAATAGGGCTAGGGCACTTGGAACAGATTATGAGAATTAAAGATGATTAAGGTATATGTTTAAAGAAACTTCTCTGTTATAGTCAAATCCTCACTGAAAAAAAAATAACACCTTATTTTCCAGCTTAGAGTTCTATTTAACTAGCAACAATAAGAATTCTAATTTGGCAACTTTAGAACACGCCTGTGTGCGTATGTGTGTGTGTGAGTGTGTGTGTGTGTGTGTCTGTCTGTTTTTCTGGGGCTTGAATGGGCCTAGGTACTGTCCCTTGGATTTTTCACTTATGGCTAGCACTCTACCACTTGAGTCACAGCTCCACTACCTGACTTTTGGTTATTAACTGGCGATAAAAGTCTCATAGATTTTCCTTCCTTGGGCTGGCTTTGAACCAAGATCCTCAGATCTCATCCTCCTGAGTAGCTAGGATTATTAGTGTGAGTTAGTGGCACCTGACTAGGACTTTTTGTTGTTTTAAGCACTAACTCAAAAGATGGATGCACATTCTACAACAGAGAGGAAATTTGTCCTTCTGCATGTTCTTGCAACACTTAATTCAACATAGATGGAAAGCTGCAGAAAGAATTCATAAAATCATCTCTCAAAATGGAAGTGTGCCTCTTTTCTACTTAGGTGGCTCCTTAATGAACTTGAGCAATCAATTAAAACAATGTGTCTATATAAATACATCTGATCAAGTAAGTTTTTAAAAAATTGTCCTTGATCTTATATTTCATTATTAATCAAAGTCAGTTCAAATCTAAGCATCACACAGGATCCCACCAAACTGCTTTCGACCTAAATCACAGCCATGCAGTAGGAATCATTGAAAAATTAAGTGTAAATATTTCATAAGACACTGATCGTTGACCTATGGCTTACCCTAAAAAGGGTACAAATTAAAGAGGTTATTCTTGGTATGGACAAATCATCTGACCAATTGTATTAGCTGGATACATTTTTCATAGTAGCATGCGCACTGAAATATTTTGCTTTTCTAAAGCATCAGAAAGTCAATGTAAATGAGAGAGGATTTAGCTTCACTTTTTTTTTTTCCGAGCAGTGTCTTGGAAATTTAACAAATTACAGTCGTGCTTCTTCAATGTAGCATTTAATATTTAATTCTTCTCACAATAACTTTGTTACTCCAAGTAAAGTTTTAAAAGTGGGTGCCCAAACTGACATGCAATTTCTTTAAAAAAAAAAAAAATCCCTGCTGAGTCCAGACAAAAATCAGCTTTCAGTCCCTTGTTTGTCCTCTGCTGTGACTGAGTCTACATTCACGGCACTTTCTAATGTCCTTGAGGCTTAAAAAAAAAAAGTGCAATTTTTAAAAATCATGGTTTTAGTGCCTGGTGTGATCTGTTAGGAAAGTTATGCTACTAAATGGAACTCTAAAACACATGGCCACAGGGCCGCCTTAGAGACTCTAAAATCCAGCAGCTCCCCCACTCAAGAGAAGGAAAAAAAAAGACAGGCAAGATATCTGCAGAAGCAGCTCCGCCAGACTAACATAAAAAGCTGAAACACCAACTTGAACACGTAACCGCAGCCAAGCCACTAGCAGGATGGCCGGGCCCTCTCAGAATCTCCAGCCCAGCCTCCACACGTAATTAATACCACATGTGCTCTTTATCATTCTATTCGCTCTGCAGCAATTTCTTCCCAACTTTCCCCCTGGCTTGCAATAGCAGGGCGGGGAGCGGGGGGGGGGGGTGCGGGGTGGACGGGGCGGGGTGGTGATGGTGGTGGTGAGGGGACCTAGAAAACTTCAGATCTGTGGATCTAAAAAGAGAGAAAGGAAAAAAAGATTCGCTCTCCACCGGGACCACAGTTCCCGTTGAGTAGGTAACCACACCCACCGCATTGCAGAAGCCGCGAACTTGGCGCCGGGTGGGGGAAGGAAAGGGGAAAAGGAAGAAGTAGGGCGAGATTACCGGGGAACCCGAGTCAGAAAAGCCACCGCAGCCGCAGCCAGGAAACAACAGCCTGGCATGGGCAGTGACCCCACTCCAGCGGTCCCCAGCCCCAGCCCCCGCCGCCCCTGCAGACCCCTCGCGAGGCGGCTCCGGGCCCCCCCGGGGGCCAGGTGAGCAGCGCCGTCCCTCGCCACCACCACCAGCCGGGCCCGAGTTCCCGCGATGGCGCTCCCGCGCACGGGCGCCAGCCTACCCAGGCGGGAGCCAGGGGTCCGCAGGTGCCCAGGCCGGAGCCGCCTCGTTCGGCTGCTCTCCTCCTCCTCCTCCCCCAACGCCGGCCGGGGGACCGCTGCCCCAATTCGGGGATCCAGGCAAGTTACATAAAAGCGGCCGAGCCCGCTGCGGAGCGGGGATGCTTTGTGCACCGCGCACCTTACCAGCCCTGAGCCGCGCTCGCCCGCGCCGGCCCCCGGGATGAGCCCGCAGCCGCGGCGCGCAGGGGTGCCAGGCCCCTCCCGGTAGTGCCACCCGCCCCGGGCGGCGCCGCAGTGTCGCCCCCCGCCCCCCGCACCTCCCCGCGGGGAGGGGCCGCCCGCCCGCTTGCCCTCGCCCGCAGCCCCAAGCGATGTAACTTCAAACAAAACATGGCGCCCCGAACCGGGAATCTGCGCAAATTGGCCAGTGAAGGGACCGGAGACCCAATCTCCCTTCTGGGCCAGGCATCCGAGTGGAGGCCCCCGGGCCCAGCGGATGCTGCGGCGCGGCGGCGGGTGCCGCGGGCGGGACCTTTCCGCAGCCACCGGCGCGGGGGCGCAGCGCGCAGGTTCAACCTCCCTCCCCGGAGGGTCCCGGAGTCGGCGAGGAGGGGGTCGGGTGGGGACCCCCGCCTGCGTGGCACACGGGATTCCCGAGATCCAGGCGGCCGCGCGACTCCTCAACCACGCGCCCGCCGCGCAGACCGGTGCGCCTCGCTCCGGGCCTCGTCCTCCGCACCTTGGAAACCCCAGACTCCTCTTCCGATCCCCCTGTGCCGAAAGGCAGAAAAGTTACCTGGGGTCGCCGAGAGGGCCCCGTGCGGCGCGGCGTTGAGACGGGGATCGGGCTGGCGTGCTGGCCGGCGGTGCGCAGAGACGCTGCGCGGGGAGGAACCGCAGCCCAGGGTTGCTGCTGCCGTCTCTCCCCCTCCCCCTTCGCCCCCCTTTGCAGGAGACACCGAGGCTCCGCGGAGCTGCGGCGGGGCCCACGCCCAGACACCGTGGGAACCGAGCCAACCTCGTCCCCAGCCCCTCCCGGGCGCGGGGGGAGGAGGCCACCGCAGTACTTTAGGACAGTTACATTGGAACCGCCGCCACCGTCCTGGAGCGGGGTCAGGTCCTAGGGACTACGCCTTGGAGACACTTGCCAAAAGCCAGTCTTTAGATTTCCACTTAGATTATTGCTGGGCCTCTCTGGCCCCTTTTCTTCCCTCCCAGTCACCGGCTAGGAGAGAGGAGGGAGGTGTGCTCCTGACCTTCAGGTGAGTTATTTATTGGCTTAGAGACTGCAGTATGAATACATGTACATTTATATATGGGTGTGTATATAAATATATATATATGTGTGTGTATGTAAAGAAAACATTCAAGTTGATGTGTCTCGTACAAGTTAAGTGCTCAAGAAATACTAAGTTAATAAAGATGAATTGAATGGAAGGTTAATGAAATGAGGTTTTTTTCACTATAAACAACTCAACTTCTCCTTCCCTCCCCTAAAATGGTAAGAAGGGGGCCCAGACCCCTACTTCTAGGGGAAAGAGACAATCCCTGTCTCTGGTTGGTAATGTCACAGTCTCTGAGCTCTAACCCAATAATCAAAGGCAGATTTATTTACCAATCGTAAAAGCCCTTTCTAAATCACCTAGTCACCATCCAGAAGCTAAGGACTCATTAAGGGAGAGAGAAAGATGGATTCGTGGAAACAGCATTCACTAATGGATGCCAGAGATGTGATATAGAATAAAAGCCTCTGGCAGAGAAGAGTGAGCTGATCTGTCAGGGAGGCCTGAGGAGGTGGAGAGACTTGGCCTGGGTTTCTAGAACAGTACAAAAGGGAAGTGGCATCTGATTGCTTTGGCTGGAGAGGAAGGGCTTTGTCAGCTTTCGTCAGAGAGGAGAGAGAAGAGGGGAGAAGTAGGGAAAGAAGGGGAGAGGAGAAGGAGAGGGAGAGCACTAGGAAATTAAGAGGTTGCTATGGAGTTTAGAGACTTGAATTCTGTAGCTAGAAAGCTTTGGGACATTCTTTGAGTATGAAAGTCATGCAAAAAAAATATAATCTGATGGCACTTCAAAGATAAGGACGAATGGGCAAATACCCGGCTGCTGGTTGGAGGCTATGACATTGATTGAAGTGCCAGAGGTAATGAGGACCTCGATGTGTTTCAAGTGGCAGGTGAAGATTTGAATGTTTTTGAGTGCTAGACACACATATACATGTCCATAGGCGCACACATGCCAGTGTGCTGAGTCCTAAGACCAGTGAATGAAGCCAGGGTTCAGTTTTCTCTGTGTGCACAGTGAAGCCCTCTCTTTTGGAAGTGGACTTGAGCAAATCAGATCATTTACAATAACCACGAAGTTGGCATTATCATTTGAGACACAGATGGTTTCAGACTTTCATTCATTTTATGGCAGTATTTTTGTTTTTTTTTTTTTAAATTGGAAGCAAACTGTTTTCACCATGACTCATGAATCTTAATGTGTGTGCAGTGAAAATCAGGGCTAGTATATGATCACTATTCTCTAGGGACCAAAAATGGTAAGGCTACTAAAGATTCTGAGTTTTGCTTTGCTTTGTTTTTGTACCTGTACCTGGGGTTTGAACTCAGGTCTGGGAGCTGTCCCTTTGCCCCTTTTGCTCTACCACTTGAGCCACAGCTCCACTTCTAGCTTTTTGCTGCTTAATTAGAGATACAAGTCTCACAGACTTTCCCGCCGCAGCTGGCTTTGAATCACAGTCCTCAAATCTCAGCCCCCTGAATAGTTTGGATTACAGGCTTGACATGTTCTGTTGTGAAAGTTAGCAGTACTTAGCTAATTACTCTAATAGCCTATGGTTTTAAAAAAATTGGAATTAAAACTGTGGTATCATATAGTTTGATAGTGAATCTAGGATGCATTTGGGAAAGCCTTTGAGCTTAACTATGGCTCTCTGCTGTTCTTTTATCGGTTTTCCCAGCACACAGAAAGGAATGGCATTCTTGAGTGGAGCATTGCCACTCAGTAGCTTCCTTGCATTTCTGTCCCAACCTTCTTTTCCTTCTATCTTATCATATCCCATGCCAGTAGCTTCTAGTCAGTCATCTCTGTCTCCCCACAGTGCCTAGCTGGGGACATGGCAAGCCAAGCACTTTTATGCTGAATGAGTGATGAGGCATTGATTAATGAACTCAAGGGTCACTTTACTTTGAAGGCCATCTTCTCCTACAGAAAGTAAAGGGCTATTTCTAAAACTTCTTATGCTTCAGTGCTACTAGGATTCCATAAAATTAAAAGGCATCCTATCTTAATACCTTCTGAGTAATAATGAAAGTAATAATCTAAGAGTTACTATTTAGCATTCATCAGGAAAGAGACTACTGGGCACAGGAATGTAACAAAATCAAAAGGAAGCTAGATAAACAATTCCAGTATGATCTGCTTTCCTCCCTTAGAATTTAACCTTTCACTGTTCCATGTAAATTCATCTAGACCCCTCCATAAAAGCCTTTATTCGTTTTATCTTTTGCTGGTACTTGGGGCTGGAACTTGGGGGCTCAGTCTCTCATTTGATTTTTCTTCTCAAGGCTGGTACTCTACCATATGAACCATACCTCCGCTTCTGGCTTTTTGATGATTAATTGGAGATACGAGTCTCATGGACTTTCCTGCCTAGGCTGCTTTGAACTTTCGTCCTCAGAGCTCAGCCTCCTAAAATGCTAGGATTATTGGCATACACCACTAGTGCCTGGCTATAGCTTTTATTCTTGCTAGTGTAAAAGTCTCCATTATGCTATTTCCATAAGTTAGGGAAAAGGGGCTTTGGGCCTGGAGATACCTTTCCCATAGTCCCAGGGACAATGCCTGTTCAGTAGGAGGACTCAGTTATTTCTTGTGATTCCTATTTACTATATCCAGGCCTAGACTGTTAGATGAATGCTAAATTAATTCATGAAAAATGGGGAAGGATGCCAGGATCAAGCTTAGGCCCTAAGATGCCTATTCAGCTCTCCATAACTGTACTTGGCCTTACTCTGCAGTGTGGCTCTTACTTGTAGACTTCTTGTAACTACTATCCAATAAAGAAGACACAATACTAAGGGCTATGGCACAGTGTAAAGGGCTCAGCTTGCTTCAGGTAAGATACATGTGGAAAGCCACCCCTTGAACCCTCATCTAACCACAAGCATCAATAGAAGTCTGGCTCACTAGCACTCACTGGTACCCTGACACTTAAATAGCAATGATCACTCTAACCTTACTGCTAAGATAAAGATGGATGTTTGCAGGTTGAATTGCCAACAGTATTGTCAGCCTTATGGACAAGATCCCAGGCAGAAATGAAAAGAGAATCTGACCAGCAAACCCATTGGAAGTTTCCCCCCCAATACAAGGCCTGAATGGATATTGAAGATTGTCTGAAGCCTATAAATGCCACTTCACAAGCCTCACACACTCATGTGTCCTTCTTGGTTCAAGCTGTGCCGCTGCCTAAGTAAAATATTAAATGTTTGCAGTAACTAGGTGAGGCTGATTTTATACTCATATTAATGTCAGGCCCCTGAATTGCATTATCAAGTCTTTGAAATCAGGGCACAACATCATCAGCCACTGTTACTGGAGACCAGAAATAAAAGAACTACAGGGACGAATGTATAATTCAAAAGCTACAAGCTCATCCTTCGGAGATAAAAATTCATTTAAGAATTTCACAGTTCTAAGAATAGTGGTAAGTTTACAGCTCATTAAAGCTTCAAGATGCTGTCTTCATCCTGGGTGTGTATACATCACTTCAGGGAGATGTGTACACGCAAGGCAAGGATGCAAAATGGAATAAAACACACACACAAAAATGTGTGCATACAAGGAGTAGGATTTACCATGCTAATATACCATTAAGAAAAATCATTCCTGGACCTGTCACAGTGGCTCATGCCTCTAACCTCAACTATGTGGGAGACAGAGATTGGAAAGATCACAGTTCAAATCTAGCCCAGACCAAAAAAACAAAGAAACAAAAACCAGTAAAACCCCACCATCGAAAACAAATTTGATGTGGCGCTTCATTTCTATAATCTCATCTATGTGGGAGGCAAAGGTAGGAGGATCACAATCCAATGTCAGTTCCAGGAAAAAGGATGAGACCCTGTCAAAAAACAAAAGTAAGGAAGTGCTGGGATGTGGCTCAGGTTGTAGAGCTCCTAGCAAATGCAAGGCCCTAAGTTCAAATCCCAGTACACCTAAAAAGCAAAAAAGAAAAAATTCCTATCCATCAAAATTTCATATCTGTCTCCTTTCTGTTCATATTAGTAGGTCAATTCACATTTTGTAAGTTTTGAAGAGGTGATATCCATCAAGATGGGTTGTACATATAAATCGATTGCTAAATGGTAACCCTTTATACAATACTTAAAGATAATAAAAATACAATTTAAAATCATGACCCTTTTGTTCTTTTCCTGCTTCCATCTCTAATAAATTTTAGAACTAGCTGCCAGCACTTTTAAATGCAGTCATTTCTATCAACATTAAGAGTTATTCTAACACTCAGTTCTTTGTAAACCTGTAATCCTCACTAATTCTATTCCTCTCCCCTTAAATAAGAGTACAAATCCATTAAGAATATTTTCTATTTAGGGTTTTAGATATAATATAAAGTATGGAATGGCGAGATAGAAGTTTATAATCTGTAATTGTATTAAATTCAATACCCAAATTTAAAAATTCATTACGAATGTTTCATGCCCCGGGAATTTTATATATATAGTAACAATATAAAGACTACAGGTCGGTAATCAGTACGATTATTAAATTCAACTCCCAAACAGAAGACTTCTATTGAGTTATGCCAAGATACTTAATATTTTAACCTCTCTCCGTCCCAAAGGAAGTAAAATATTTGCAAGCCCCTCCATCC